TTTAGTTTGAAGGATATGAAAAATGTTGAGATTTTCAAAATTTGGTGATTGGGGGGGAGCTCATTGTGATGTGTATTATTCCTTGAAATTTAATTTGTTGTGGATAGGATGTTGGTGTAATTGTCTTGTAGTGTGCCCTGATGAGTGCCATTAGAGAGATTAACTGAGGAGTGCGTGTTCTTGCCCTTCTGAAATGAAATGATGGCCATTGCAAATGTGAAGATGTTTGTATTTTGAAAATTGGGTAGTTGTGCTCTGAAAACAAAGTTGATGAAGACGAGACCGCCATCGCATATTTAAATAAATATGATCGACTTCGGGTTTAGCCTGCTTACTTCTCATTATTATTAATGATATTTAATTTTATTTCCTTTAGCTATTTATTAAACTTGGTAGGAAAATAAATATCTTGCAGTGTTCGGCAAGATGAGAGTTCTCTATCTTTCTTTTTCTTATTTATTCTGATGTACGAATGAGAAAGAGCAGATTATTGAGAATTGAAATAAAACTTGTCGTTCGTTCTTTAGAGAGAGTATCTCATATTCTGCTTATTTGTACTACACTCTACATCAGTTGGTATCCAGAGACCAGCAGTGATCCACGATGCCGCCGAAAAGAAACGACAACATCATTGAAGAACGATTCCTGAGGATGGAAGATCGATTTCAAGGGATGGATGACCGTTTCACTGACATCAACACCGGGATCGAGGAATTGCACTAGGCAATGCGTACCATGATGATGGAGGTTCGTACGAACCGCGATGCCGGCGACTGGGGCGCGCGCGGAGGGTTTCGCGGAGGTAGGGGAGGCCGCGGCTTTGGCGGGGCGCCCCGCCTGCAGCAGCCACTGCCTCTGTCCGGCGATGAGGGGGACGAAGAAACGGTCAGCGTCGAGAATCCGTTCGCGACGGAGCAACGCCGCGGCCATGGCGGGGATCGTCGGCACCGTGGGTTTGCGGGCAGCGGCGATCAGAGGCGAGGACCTAGGGTTTTTCGCAGGGGCTGGTTCGAGGATGATGACAGTGTCGGAGAATTTGACGGGGGTACAGGATCAGAATTTGATGACGACGGGCTGCGCAGTCGAGGCTGGGGTGGTCGCGATCGTTTTTTTCCCCGACAAGCAGCGTACGGTGACGGCGAAGGGTTTGAGCGAGTTGGTCAGTACCACCGTGACGGCAGGCGCCCGATAGAAGGGGGCGATGAGTCACGATGGGAAGCGAGCTTTAGGGTTGATATTCCGGAGTTTGCAGGAGGCGTGGATGGCTCGGATTTTATCAATGGTGGGCTTCGGTGGAGGTTGTTCTTCGATTTAAGGGGTTCCCGGAGGATAGACGAGTTGACTTGGTTGCTACTCGTTTTCGAGGTCGAGCGGCAACGTGGTGGATGCAACTCACGAGCACGCGGCATCGTCAAGGGAAACCAGAGATCACATCGTGGTCCAAATTTCGGAAGTATGTAGAGTGTGAATTCGTGCCGTATAATTACGATAGTATGGTGTATTAACAGTTGCAGAACTTGCGACAGGGATCTCGATTGGTGGATGAATACACGAACGAGTTTTATAAACTACTCACTCGTGTCGAGCTACGGGAGTCAAAGAATCAGTCGGTGTCCCGTTATGTTGGTGGGTTACGGTCGTCAGTGCGTGATATGTTGAACCTTTTTCGCCCAGACTCTGTTTCCGATGCCCATCAACGGACACTTCTTGTTGAGGTTCAGCTCGCACACAAGCTGACAGTGGCGTCGGGGTGGTCATCGCAGCCAGGGGGCGTCGCGAGCGGCGCAATGATACCGGCACGGCCAGGGGCGGCGACGGGAAGTGAACTAGGCCAGGGAGGGGCACCGGCGCGTGTGGCGGGGTCAGGCGGGCCCTACCAGCGGGCTCTAGGGGGCGGCAGACAGCAGCTCTCACCGGTAGCGGCACGGGCCGTGGCCAGGCTTCGGTGTTTTGGGTGTGGCGAAATGGGCCATCGCCAGGCGGTCTGTCCGAAGGGTGCGGCGACACGGGCCTTATTTACGGAGGATGTGGGAGACTATGTCACCGGCGAGGATTATGTGGGTCCACCGGTTTACGATGTCGATCCGGGGGAGCTTGAGGAATATATGACCGGAGACGTTGGGACGACACTAGTTATTCGCCGTACATGTTTGGTACCACGTGGATCAATTGACACACCGGTGGAGAGACACCATCTGTTCGAGTCTACTTGTACAGTCGGTACAAAGGTGTGCCGTTTTATCATTGACTCGAGCTCTTGCGAGAATGTCATATCTCAGGAGGCGGTCGACAAACTACAACTCTCTACAGAGCCTCATCCACAACCGTATACTCTCGTTTGGATACAGAAAGGTACGTCAGTTACTGTTGATCGTCGTGCACTTGTTTCTTTTTCAATTGGTACCAAATACCGTGATCAGTTGTGGTATAATGTGGTGCCAATGGATGCGTGTCACTTGTTGTTGGGTCGCCCATGGCAGTACGATAGGGCGGCTACTCATGACGGGCGGCTCAACACATATTCTTTTGTGTTTGGTGGGTTGAAGATTATTCTGGTTTCTAATGCCCCTCGTTCTTTGCCGCTACCGAGTTCCACGGCACCGGTTCTTCTTCTTTCACGCACAGCTTTTCTTGCGGAGCTGCGTGACTCGCCGTGGTGTTTTTTACTGGTTGGAGTTGATCAGGGTGATGAGCAGGTTCTGCCGGTTGCTATTCGTCCCCTTTTGTCCGAGTTCTTGGATGTGTTTCTGGAGGAGCTTTTTTCGGGCTTGCCGCCACTTCGTGACATCCAGCACCACATCGATTTGGTTTCGGGGGCTTCTTTGCCGAATAGGCCTCACTATCGGATGAGCCCGACGAAACATGAGGAGCTGCGGCGACAAGTGGAGGAACTCCTACAGCGGGGGGTCGTACGTTGGAGTTTGAGCCCGTGTGCAGTGCCGGCGCTCTTGATACCGAAGAAGGACAGTTCGTGGCGTATGTGTGTGGACACCCGCGCCATCAACAAGATCACAGTCCGGTACCGTTTCCCGATACCTCGGCTGGATGACCTATTGGATCAGCTTCACGGTGCTACTGTGTTCACTAAGCTAGATCTTGGGAGCGGATATCACCAAATTAGGATTCGCCCAGGTGACGAATGGAAGACCGCATTCAAGATTCGGGAGGGGCTCTTCGAGTGGATGGTGATGCCTTTCGGTTTGTCCAATGCTCCGAGCACATTTATGAGGGTGATGAACCAGGCCTTACGGGACTTTATTGGCAAGAGTGTCGTCGTTTATTTCGACGACATTCTTATTTACAGTCAGACGATGGACGAGCACCTACAGCATGTTAGGGAGGTGCTCTGTGTTTTCCGTGCTGAGTCTTTTTTTGCTGCTCCTCGTAAGTGCTTTTTCTTGGTTGATTCGGTGTTGTTTCTGGGGTTTGTCATCTCGGCCGAGGGTATTCGTGTAGACGACGGGAAGGTGGCTGCCATTCGTGATTGGCCGTCTCCGACGACTTTCACTGAGGCCCGGAGTTTTCACGGCCTCGCTTCCTTTTACAGGCGCTTTATCTCCCATTTTAGCACGATTATGGCTCCCATTACGGATTGCTTGACCGACAAATCATTTGTGTGGACCTCAGTAGCTGAGGATGCTTTTGCTCTTATTAAGAGCAAATTGACTTCTGCTCCTCTGCTCGTGTTACCAGATTTTTCGAAGCCGTTTGAGCTTTCTTGCGACGCGTCGAAGGTGGGGATTGGAGCTGTTCTCGGTCAAGATGGTCGCCCAGTCTCGTTTTTTAGCGAGAAGCTGTCTGGCTCGAGGTCCCGTTACAGTACTATGACGTGGAGTTCTATGCCATGGTTCGGGCTGTTCGGCATTGACGACATTATATTTTTCATCGAGAGTTCATTTTATATATGGACCACGAGGCCCTTCGCCACTTGGCCACGCAGGATAATATCTCAGCTCGTCATGCCTCGTGGACGGCTTTTCTGCAGCAGTTCACTTTTGTTCTCCGTCATCGTTCCGGCGCTTCGAATAGAGTGGCCGACGCCGTGAGTCGGCGTGTCCTTTTGTTGACTGATATGCGTGTTTATGTTATTGGGTTTGAGGTCCTACGTGAGTTATATGCCGACGATCCTTTCTTTGGCCCCATTGTTGGGCGACTTGCTGTTGGACCGGTTGACGACTATTTGTTATCTGACGGGTTTCTTTTTCGGGGTGTGCAACTTTGCATTCCGGATTGCAGCCTTCGTCAGAAGCTCATTTCCGACCTCCATGGGGCAGGCCACGTGGGACGCGACAGGTCGGTTGAGCTGGTGGGGCGTTCCTATTTTTGGCCTTCGCTTCGGCGAGACGTGGGCCGGTTTGTCGAACGTTGCCGTGTTTGTCATGTCTCGAAGGGAGTGGCCACGAATGCTGGCCTTTATCGGCCCCTTCCTATTCTTTCGTGACCGTGGAGTGCGATTAGCATGGATTTTGTGCTCGGTTTGCCGCGTACTCAGCGTGGTTTCGATTCTATCTTTGTGGTCGTGGACAGGTTCTCGAAGATGGTGCATTTTGTTCATGCAAGCGCACCACAGATGCAGTCCATGTGGCACAGTTGTTCTTTCGGGAGGTTTATCGTTTGCATGGACTCCCGTCCTCCATTGTGTTGGATCGCGATACTCGTTTCCTTAGCCACTTCTAACGTAGTTTGTGGCGCATGGCGAACACTCAGTTGGACTTCAGTAGTGCGTACCATCCGCAGACAGACGGTCAGACGTAGGTAGTGAATCGGTCCTTGGGTAACCTCCTTCGTTGCCTAGTGGGCGATCATATTCGTAGTTGGGATCAGCGTTTGAGCCAGGCTGAGTTTGCACATAACTCGGCTGTTGGTCGGGCTACAGGTTTATCGCCGTTCGAAATAGTTTATGCGGTTCGGCACCGTGGGTCATGCGATCTGTTGGCACTGCCGGCCGTGGATGCGGTTGATCGTCGGGCTGCTGAGCTCATTTCCGACCTCAAGGCGACGCACGAGAAGGCTCGGGCCCGGCTGGAGGCGACCATGGCCTCTTACAAGAGGCGGGCGGATCTTTGCCGGCGCCATGTCGAGTTCGAGGTGGGTGATTATATTTGGGCCGTGTTGACGAAGGACAGGTTTACGGCCCACGAGTATAATAAGCTGTCGGCCCGCAAGATTGGTCCAGTTGAGGTGGTTGAGAAGATTAACCCGAATGCGTATCGTCTGCGTCTTCCGTCTCGTGTTCGCACTTCTGACGTGTTCAACGTTAAGCACTTGGTGCCGTTTATGGGGGACAATTTGGACGAAGACGAAGACGAGACCGGTCCGGATTCGAGGGCGAATCCTCCTCAACCGGGGGAGAATGATAAAGACGAGACCGCCATCGCATATTTAAATAAATATGACCGACTTCGGGTTTAGCCTGCTTACTTCTCATTATTCTTATTGATACTTTATTTTATTTCCTTTAGCTATTTATTAAACTTGGTAGGAAAATAAATATCTTGCAGTGTTTGGCAAGATGAGGGTTCTCTATCTTTCCTTTTCTTATTTATTCTGATGTACGAACGAGAAACAACAGATTATTGTGAATTGAAATAAAACTTGTTGTTCGTTCTTTTGAGAGAGTATCTCATATTCTGCTTATTTGTATTACACTCTACATCGAAAGTTTAGTTCCGGGGATTGAATGGTTGTACTATGAAATGAAAGTGTTTGGACTTTGAATGCATTATTGTGTTAACATGAGCTTGGCTCGAGATTGAAGGCTGCAGCTAGCTCGAGTCCGGCTTGGGAGTGCAGGCTGCAGCTTGGTCAAGACTTGTAAGCTTGGGTGCTTATCCTAAGGGCTCGTTTGTTTTTTGAGATGGGATTGATTATTTTTACTGCACTATTTGGGTTATTAACCCACATGTTTGTTGGGCCATATATTGTTAGGATTTAAATTCGGATGATTGTCTCATTGTGTGTTTGGGAAAAATGATTAGAGTAAGATTATTTTGGTTAATTACAATGTCAATCATCTTCTTCATCAATTCTCCATCTACAAATTCTGAATAAATAAATAAAATAAAATAAAATACCTCACATCTTCTCACATAAATTAATTCAATCCCAAAACCATTCATGTCAAATATTTAAGAATCAATCAAATACAAGAGTGTACCTGAATTCATTGTTTTGAGAATTCATCTGTTCTCCCTCGACTGGAATTCTTATGTTTACCGGACTGGTGAGAACTTCCAAGGCAATCGGTTCTTATGGCAGATATATTTTGATATATTTTGCAGATGTATGTGTGTACTGATATTGTGTATTTTCCATACCTGTCCGTATGTCTTATACTGTTGTATGGTGCCTTTTAAGGGAAAAGATACCTATACACGATCTGCCTTTTTTCAGTCTGTTGGTTGGGGCCATCACCAGGTAAGTATTTATTTTAGTTTTTAGTCTGGTCCCTCAACAAACCAAAAAGCTCATAACAGTATCTACACTTTTAAATCTACGATAATTTGATACTCTATTTATTCAAAATTATAAATCAGTAGATCACTTTAATTGAATTGAATTATGACAACTATACACATTTTAATTTACATATGTTGTCCAAATTAAATATTTCTAACAATCTCCCACTTGGACTACATATGCAACTGAACAAATGTGTATTACTTTACGAGCTCAAAATTTGTTGTCATATACAAGAATATCATTTACCAATCTCGTCCATTAATCGTAATGACATAGGACTGAGGAGGTTTTCATCACTTTAAGCATGAATTAACCCGTCGATAATCACATATACCAATGCAATCAAACGACATAGGTCAATCATAAAAGTGAAATACGAGAATTACATGTAATGTGATCTTTCATGCCTATTTTTAACTAATCACTTTATTCCTTATTGAGATCAATATAAAACTAAAATTACAGAGTATAATAAACTGAATACTTTATATCTGATAAAAAAATATCCAAACACACAAATACAATATATATATATATAGAACATTTAATACAGACTCCCACTTGTTTATTGTGTTTTTGTGCTTATTTTCATGTGATTTATGTGTTTGAGTTTGGTCTCTTTAGGTTCGTTTTAGTGTCATCCGGTCCATTTTATCGTGTTTCATGCATTCTTGCTCTCGTTCTATTTTTTTTCTAGTTCGGCGTACTTTTCCTGTCTTTTTGGTGTTGACTAGGTCCACTTTGACGAGATTGGGAAAACGAGCCGCACGAGCCGTCCGAGCCGACCCGACCGACACGAACGAGCCAACCAAGCCGTCCCGAACCATGACCGGGTCCAGTTAGTTCCGCCCAGTGCCTGCGAGCTCAGCAGTCCGCGCCTGCGAAAGGATTGGCGATGTCGCGAGTCCCCATGCTCCAACGTCCGCGCGCGCGAAGATCCACGCGACCTCGCGAGTGTTGCTCCAGTGCTACGTCCGCGCGCGCGAAGATCCACGCCAGCTCGAGAGTGCTACCTTTCTCCTCGCGCCACACCGTGCCTTCCTCGTGCCATCCGTGCCCGCGACCCGCGAAACTGCCCGCGACCTCGAGAGTAGCTTAGTAAATGTGCGTGTTTTTAGTGTGTGTTTGAGGTGTAGCTATAAAAAGACATTGTGCTTTTTATTTTTGGGAACAACCCTCATTCCCCAACTTTTAAGTTGGGAAATCCTCTCTATTTTCTCTCTTCTCTCTCTTTTCTTTTTTTATGCTTTGGTTGGGAGGTCCATGACTCTATTTTTTCGGCGAAATTCCGGCAAGCTTATTTTCATTCAAGTTTCGAGCTTTATTCATTATTTTTGTTGAGGCACGCGATAGGAGAGTAAGTACCTTACTTAGGACTTACTACTTCGAGTTTGTTCTTTCGATTTTGTGTTTATGCTCGTTTCTAGGGTTTTACTTTATTTTTATTGCTTGCTTTTGTGTGTTAGGAATCAATACGTGCTTATCTAGTATAAATGTCTCGACTTTGTTTAAAGCGTGATGATTTAGTGTAGAAAGCTCGTGTTAGATTACCTAGGATCACTATGCTCGCATGTTTTCTCTTGTTTTCTTTTATTTTCTCGAGTTATGGAGATTCCGTACAACCAATGCTTTGACAATTCCTTCGATTCTTGCATTTTCATCATTTGCTCTAGATTTTTAGTGTAATTGCGTGCAAATCACCCATAATCAAGCGAGTAGAATGTTTAGGACCTTCTTTTTGGTTATGTGACTTTGACGACTAGGTAGTAAACGAAGCTCCGAACAGCCTTCCTTTGAGAACGACCCGAGTCGGGTAGCTCGGTTACCACATGCCCAAAAATACTACAAACAAAATGGCGCCGTTGCCGGGGAAGGCGAGTAGGACGCCAAGTTTGCTATCTAGTTGTCATTTGTTTCCGTGTTTCTCTTAATTTTTGTGGATTTTGCTTGGTTTTGCGTGTTTCTCTTGATTATTTGCTTATTTTCTATTTCTCTTGCTTTTTACTATGTGTGTTCTTGTACATATTTTGTCGTTTTAGTTTTATTTTTGTGTATTTCGTTTCTTGGTCTCGTGTGCCTTGGTTTTTTTGCTTTTCTTGTGCGAGGTACTTCGCTTGAGGAGCTCCGATGGATCCATACGGCTATGCTTATGCCGGTAGCTCGTCTCGTGGATGCCCCGACAACTACCATGAGGAGATGTACCCGTATGGAGGGCCGCCCTATCCGTATCCGAGCCATTTTTACCCACCATCTCAAGTTGATTTTGATTATTACTCTCCGGGTCACGACGAGACACCTCACTGCTATCCACCGCCTTCCGATTATTGTGATGCCACACTTCCACCCGATCCGACTCGGGAAGCTTCTCCAAGCCGTTTAGACGAGATTATGGAGCATTTGGAGAAGTGCAATCAATCTCTTCGTGCTTCAATGGCTCCCATATCCGAAAAAGAAGAAACCGAGTCAATTACTCCATCCTCTACATCGTATGAGCACCTATCGGTTGGCCAACCTTGTACATTGGGTTCTGAAGCTTCAATTCCAACAATGGTTGAGCCTACCGAACGTCACTGAGATGTTTTGACGAGCACTCAAGAGGCACTTGCGAGCCTCATGTCGATCATTGAGGAGTTTCATAGTTGGAAGAGCATTCCCATTCCATCCGTTCTACAAATCACACTCACGAAGTTCGACTCTACCGTTGTCTCTTTTCTTGATTTGGATGCCTCTCATATTTCGCTCAGTAGGTATTGTTCTCTATCGGCGAGGATTATTCGGGAGAGTACTCGGTTAGAGGGAGAATTTCGAGCTATGGTGGATAGGTTTGCCTCCTTGAAAGAGATGGGCCTCACTCTCGTTTATGACGGTACGCAATCTCTCGACACGAGTGAGGACATCGACGATTTGGGTGTTAAGGAAATTCCCTCTCTTGACGATTCGGCCGTGCATTCTACACTAGGTGTAACACCCCGCTTATCAGAGTAAATTTTTCGCAACTTTTATTTCGAAATTACTTATAACTCTTTCGAAATCTTTTTGCGAATAACTCGGGATGCTACTTAAACTCCTTCTTCCTAAAAATCTGTTTAACTTTAACTTTGTCTAATTATTTATTTTAGACATAACAAAACAGATTTATATATATACTTGCATTTAACTATATCATGTTCATATTTATGAAATGATAAAAAATTGAAATCTGAATTTATTTAAAATGCAAGTTCACATATTAATAAGCGTAGCGGAATTACTTAAAAACGTGAATAATTATACAGACTTATTTCATTTATTACAAATGTCCTTTGAAATGAGTACTCGACCATCACCACCACTTTATTTGCTCACACCTCCGGCCCGACCCTGTTACCTGAAAAACATAATGGGGGTGAGTACTGGTCCTTTTGTACCCCGTTAATACCCATACTAAAGTAAACATCAATAATAATACAATATCATGATCTTTGGTATATATATAATAACTGTAACTTAATCTGGCCGATATATTATCGGATACTTGTGCACAATCTGATGGATATTTCTAAGGCACGTATCGCCTCCATCAGAACTTAGGATATAATCTTCGAGACAAATTAATGCCTCCTCATCCCAAGCGTATAAACTTAAACTGTATACATACCTCGAACATGATAACAATATTATACTCAATGTAATACCCAGTCTGGGTCCCCACCTTTCTCCTTTGAAATCGTAAGTGTTGGTCTCGAGTAGCTAACTCTTCAAGCTACATAAAAATACGTAAACAAATATACTAAGTACTATGCTCGTATACTCGGATTTTCAACTCTTTCGGATAAATCATCCAAATCTTATAAAATCTCAATATTCTTGTTATGGTTCAAACTTTTCTTGATCTTTTACTCAATCAAATACTTACTCATATTATTTCTCCCAAATCTTATACATATGGCTTATACTCATTTTTCACTTGATTATCTCGAAAGTGAAAAATAACTCAAATCATACTAAACTTTTCATCATAATATTAATATGTGAGATTTACAACAATCTTTATAAAATTGTATACTCAACATATTAAACTAAAACTTGGTCAAATTGCTCATTACTCATATAAGAATTTTTTTCTAAAAATTCCATTTTAAAACTTAACCATGTACTAAATACTCTTGCATATAAAATCATCTTGACATGTATGCCATATAAATATTTTAACTCGCTCATTTCTCAACATAAAATCATGAAATTTGGCAGTCATGTTCTTAACCCATATATAAGCATGTCGTAAAAATTTCATAATTTTATCATGCGTATATATCGAGTTATTAAAATTTTAAAGTCACAGCTGAAATAAAGAACATAAAATTCAACTTGCATGCT